ATGTTGCAGTCTGTGATGGGCCAAGTTTTCTTCCATAACTCATTTGGATAAACACTAAATTGGAATGATTATCCCCCAAAAAAAAAACATAGGAGAAAGAGAGACACTGAGAGAGACTGCCATATTGGCCTCTCCATGTCCTATTTGAGTTCCCTGTGATGCGCGGTTTAGGAGAGGAATCGGGACATTCAAACACTGAGCTAATAAACCTAGCGGATGTTGAAAAGGCCAAGCACTTGTCACAACTGATAACTTACTCCCCTGACGACAACTAGACTGAGGACAACACAGTGTCCTTTTACATCGCTGAAAGACAAACAGCTATTGGCAGTTCCTAATTTATAGATAGGTAATAGTCCTGGCCTGAATTTGGTTTCCTGAGTGTAGGTAATCATGTGGTACAAAATAGAAGACACTTTCCTTTATATTTTCCAGCATAAGTGCAAAGTCCTGGCACTATTTGAAATAGACAAGATGGACTAATTTTTCACTTCTTTTTCTTCACCCCATTTTCTTAGTTCCTAATGCTCCTTTTCTCCTGTTTCCAGTCCCGCAGGCTGCCCAAAACACCTTTAGTGAGATCCCGCCTGGTCCTCTCCTATGTCCCTAAATGTCCCCATAATGCAAAATGAACTCCTTCTCCCCTGCAAAAATTCCCTACAAGATATTAATATTACAACAATCAGGGTAAAATAATGTATACTAATGTGTGATGGATAGTCCCATAATCACGAGTTATTTGCCTTTTTAGAAGAGGATGACGGGGGCCAGCCCCATGGCCCAGTGGTTAAGTTCACACACTCTGCTTCGGCAGCCCATGGTTTCACCGGTTCGCATCCTGGGCACGGACATGGCACCGCTCACCAGGCCATGCTGAGGCGGCATCCCACATAGCATAACTAGAATATACAACTATGTCTTTGGGGAAAAGAAGAAGAAAAAAAAAGAAGAAGAAGATTGGCAACAGTTGTTAGCTCAGGTGCCAAACTTTAAAAAGTAAATAAATAAATAAAACAGGGTGACTATTGCCAAAATTAATGAGTAATTAGTAGAATATAGGAGAGTGTTGCAAGGTATCCAGTCCTAGAGGCCTCTTTTTTTCCTGATTGGGGCAATGAGAAAAGAATGATTAAGCTTTAGACAGACGAGCCTTCAGGGCTCACTAAACTCTAAACTGACTTGATTTTTTCTAGATTCATGCCCTCCCCAAACTCTGCCACACAGCTTCTCTACCAACTCTACGTATTTGTTTGTTTGTTTTTACCCAGAAAGGTTCTCCTAACAACAGGGTCTCTGGCAACAGAGATAAAGAAGTTGTGCAGGAGAGGTCACAACTTGGGCTTCTGAGTATTGTTAGCTAAGGGTCAGCACATTTTTCATCTGAATAAATATTGATTAAAAAAAACCTACATGGCTACTATTGCATAAAAGGCTGACCCAGAGACAGGAGCTTGCCATGGAATATTATTGCCACCTGTAAAACAAAGCAAGACATGGGTAGAACTTGAAATACATCAGGATACAGGCAAAAAGGAGAGAGTTTTCCAAACCTTTAAACTAGGCAACTGAACTGGTAGTCCTACAAGAAGCCTCTCATTTCCATGAAACTTGAAAGGGTCACAGGAGTCCACACACTGCCATGTAGACGGCTGCCGAGTGCTGTCACCACAACTCCAGTACAAAGGAGGAGGCTTGAGCTTGAGGAGGTTAAAAGTCACACCATATGGAAATCGCGCTGAGAATAGAGTCCACGTTCCTGACTCCCACGGCATCCTTCCCTGCAGCTTCTCCTGGGCTACCTCCAGAACATCTCAGCTTTCAGTCTACCCTTTGCTGGTACCAGAAAGCACAGATTTGCACAAAAGTACATTTTCAATTGTGAGCATTTGGATTTGTTTTTGCTTATTTGACTCCCCAACACGGGCTCTTGTATCAGTAGTTCTCATTTCAAATCTGGTAATAAAAAGAGTTTCATCTTCTCTGGGTGAGCCAATTTTGAAATTTGGCTGATTCCTGCTATCAACAACACAGCTGGGACGAACGTAGAATTTTGAATCCACACTGCCACTCACTATGTGATGACTTTGTGCAAATATCTCACTTCTCTCAAATACAATTGCCTATTCTATAAAATGGGAATAATAACACTCATCTGATAAAATTGTTCTATGATTTGACAGCAATGTTATCTCTCACATGGATTATTGCAACATCTTCGTATCCGGTCTCCTGACTCCCACCCTTGCCCACCTTTCACCTACTACTAACAGAGCTGCTAGAGTGGTCCTGTTCAAACATAAGTCTTGTCACTCTTCTGCTTAACACCTATCCCCTATACCTCCTCATCTCTTTCAGAGTAGAAGCTAAAGGTCTTCATTGGCTTACATAATCTGCCACCTCCTCATTGCCTCTGACTTCACCTGCCACCACTCTTGCCCTGGATCATTTTGCTCCAGTAACTCTGAACCTCTCACTATTCCTCAGACATACCAGAAACACTCCTGCCTCAGGGCCTTTGCACTCACTGTCTCCTCTGCTTGGAAATTCTTGCCTTAACTATTTATAAGCATTGCTCCCTCACCTCCCTTTAGGTCTTTATTCAAAAGCTACCTTCTCTGAGGAGTTTTTCCTGGCTCCTTTATCTAAAATTACAACCCACTCTCTTAAGACTCCTTCTTGCTGCTTTACTTTTTTCCTTAGTGTCACTAACACATCCTACATTTTCTTTTTGTATGTTCTATTCCTCTCTCCCACTAGAATATAAGCTCAATGTTAGCATTTTGTTCACTTATTAATCATGTGACTCTATGAGAAAAACACTCAACTTCTCTGAACTACAGTGTATTCATCTATCCCCAGGGCAGTCCTACAGCAATGTCTGGCACATTGTAGGAGCTTAATAAATGGTTGTTGAGCTGATGACTGAATCTAAAAGAGCTTTCAAAATTATGGCCATTGGAGCATGAAAGAGGAGGAGAAGAAGGGGAAAAGGAAAAAGAAGATGTGAGGAAAGGAAAGAAAAGAATCATGTCAGTGGGCCGGCCCTGTGGCCAAGTGGTTAAGTTCATGCGCTCCGCTTAGTCGGCCCAGGGTTTCACTGGTTTGGATCCTTGGCGTGGACACGGCAGCGCTCACCAGGCCATGCTGAGGTGGCGTCCCACATAACACAACCAGAGGCACTCACAACTAGAATATACGACTATGTACTGGAAGGCTTTGGGGAGAAGAAGGAGGAGAAAAAATTAAAAAGAAGATTGGCAATGGATGTTAACTCAGGTGCCAATCTTTAAAAATTTTTAAAAATCACGTCAGAGTTGCTCAGATTTAGCTACCGTTTTATCATGAGCTAGGGCAGCGCTATCCTCAGAACCGTGGGAATCATCCTCTCTTCTATCAATAACCAGTTCAGCCATTCCCTCAAGGTGCTCATGGACTTGTGAGAGGCCCAAAGGACACACAGTGACTCTAGGATGCTATTAACGATTAGATCTATTCTTCATCACCACCTATTTTCCTGGAAACCTGATTTGAACACATATGTAATGCCAAGAGCTAAGATAATCACTCTAGGGCACGGTCATAATCTGGAATGTTGTACACCTCGATGCACACATAGTCATACACAGACAACCACACCTCCTTGCTACACAATTAACGGACTCTCAGTCTTCCTGCAATGCAAGGACCATGAAATTCTATACTTTCCTTATTCATATCCCAATCAGTGGAATTATCTGGAGCAAGAGGAAATTTCCAGCATCCATGCATGGGATGTTTTCTAGGGCTTCACGAGCAACACTTTCCCTTCTGGTTCAGCCTTTTCTATGATTTTAACTTTTCCTTCATGGGAGCCTTTTCTTCTCTGGCCCCCCAGGCTTGCAAGAGCTATTTTGAATGTCAGGTAAGTTTTGCTCTGAGATGCCTTTAAAGGCTAGTGCTGAGGAAAACAGCATTCACTTTGCAACCTTCTCGGGAATTTTACTTAACACAGCATCTTCATCCCAAGGATTTAAAGCGTGATGGAAACTTTAGCTCATGAATCAAAACAACTCTCCAGAGCTAAAAGCTAGTTGTATTTGCATAACAATTTAGCAGATCTAAACAGCAGGGCAAGGTCAGGTGAACTAAATTGCCAAGGTCATGGTTCTCTTGAAGTGGTGTTGAAATTCAGAATTGCTGACCCCCAGTCCTTGCTCTGCCTCACGGATACCTCTCCTGCTCTCCTAAATGATACAGTGGCAGAAAATAAAAATAAATCTACTGTATGTGTGGAAACCATACACCTGCCCTTAACCCTCCCCTTTCCTTCTAACTCCAGATTATTCAGATCATGAAGGAAAAGATCGAATCGTAACCCACTGATACCACTGTCTTACCACACAAATGGAAGAATTTACTAGAAACAGTGATCTGGAGGACTCTTGGTCTAAACTAGGAACTGCTGTTGACTGTATTTGAGACTCTAAAAGTATTTTGACTCTCTTTAATTTCTTGATGAAATAATTGCTTCAAATTCACTGTTTTAATTCTGAGAACCTAAAAACATAGGAATCCTCAAAAATTGCAAAGGCCCACGTGCCAGAGAGAAGGAAGCTGAGGAGATTAAATGTGTAAATGATGCTGGCTTAATACTCTTAGCCGGAAAAACCGTTAAAGCGACACATCGAAGAGAAGCGCCTTAAAGTCACAGCCTCTTTGAACCTATCCCAGTGAACCACTGGATTTCAGATTCCTCAGGCGCAACTCCAAATTCTGAATTCTCCGGGAATCGGAGTCCTCGCCCTCTTAGGTGGCAGGGAAAATCGCAAACTACGACTCCTAGCCTTTGAGGGGAGAGGACTTTGCAGGGGCGCGGGGAGCGCCACCCGGGAATCTCACCATCAGTGGGCGTTTAGCGCAGCCAAGCGACAGGCTGGCGCCAGGGCTCAGCAACAGGGAGGCGCCGGCTGGGGCTGGGAGAACTTTGCGCTCCGAGCGGAACCACCCTTTGCTGGCCAGTCGCGTCGCTCCTCTGAGGAAGCAAGCGGCGGCGGCGACCCGGCGGAAAGAGGAGGAAAGAAAGGAACAGAGGAAGTAATGAGGGAAGAAAAATGAAACCAGCTCTGGGGAAGCCTGCGAGAAGGTAGCCGACGGTGGAGCAAGGAGTATCTGGCATCTTTTCCGCGCCCCGGGCGTGAACCCCTTCTCCTGGGCGACCCCAAGAAAATAAGTGGGTTTCTCCTGGAAAGAAAAGGAAGAGAAAATAATCCAAGTGCGCGCGCTGCCTCCTCGGTCACCGTAGGAACTCCGGCTGCTTCTCAGCCCAGCCTCCCCACGGGGCGGGACGCAGTGCCCGAGCCGCCCTGCAGATGGGGCGGGCAGGGAACAGGCGCCCCAGCCGCAGGTGACAGGCGCCGGCCCGCCCGCCTGCCTGGCTCCGCGCAGGGACCGGGCGGGCAGAGGATGCGAGGCGGAGGGGCCTGGGAGTGGGATCTGAGACTGCCGAGAGCACGCTAGGCTCCAACTTGGATGGCCTGGAGACCGCTCCAGCTCCTGGGACCGCTTCACCGCGTGGAGTGAGCGGCGCGCGGGACCTGGGGGCGGAGACCTTAGGCGGCGGCTGCAGGGGGCAAGCCGGGCGCAGGAGGGGGCGCGCTTTCTCCCTGCGGGTCTCAGTAATGAGGAGACTGAGTCTGTGGTGGCTGCTGAGCAGGGTCTGTCTGCTGCTGCCGCCGCCCTGCGCACTGGTGCTAGCCGGGGTGCCCGGCTCCTCCTCGCACCCGCAGCCCTGCCAGATCCTCAAGCGCATCGGGCACGCGGTGAGGGTGGGCGCGGTGCACTTGCAGCCCTGGACCACGGCCCCCCGCGTGGCCAGCCGCCCTCGGGACGGCAGCCGGACAGGCGCCCAGCGGGATGAGCCCTCGCCAGGGACTTGGCGGCCCCCGGCGCCCTCGCCAGGAGGACGCTGGTTGGGGAGCGCCCTGCATGGCCGGGGGCCGCTGGGCGCCCGGAAGCCCGGGGAGGATACCGGGGCCGAGACCCTGTGGCCTCGGGATGCCCTACTCTTCGCCGTGGACAACCTGAACCGCATGGAAGGGCTACTGCCCTACAACCTGTCTTTGGAAGTAGTGATGGCCATCGAGGCGGGCCTAGGCGATCTGCCGCTCTTGCCCTTCTCCTCCCCTAGCTCGCCGTGGAGTAGTGACCCTTTCTCCTTTCTGCAGAGCGTGTGCCACACCGTGGTGGTGCAAGGGGTATCGGCGCTGCTTGCCTTCCCCCAGAGCCAGGGCGAGATGATGGAGCTCGACTTGGTCAGCTCCGTCCTGCACATCCCAGTGATCAGCATCGTGCGCCACGAGTTTCCGCGGGAGAGTCAGGTGAGAGGAGGCTGGCGCGTGGAGTGGAGCTGGGCGCTACTGGGGGCCGGACCTTAGTGTGGGGAGAGAAGGGGGGCGGATGAAGTCCGGAGGGACTTAGGGCTTTACAACTTTGACGTTGTTTAAGGATTGGACCTTTTCTGTAGGTGGTAGGTAGAAGGGCCTCAGTAGAAGTAAAATAAAACATTTTAAGCGCAGATGAAAATAAAATGAGAGAGAGAGGTAGCAGATGGAAGCAAGGAAGTGGGCAGAATAAGCGAAAAAATCTTCACGTTTTGATCAGCTGGAAGAAACCTAGCGGGTGCCCGACAGAAGTAGAAGTCGAAGTTCAGGACCGTGGAGAGCGATCGAGGTTCTGATAACTAGAGCGGGGGATGGGGATGGCTGACTCTGCTAGTCTTTCACTCCCGTGAGGAACTCTGAGAGCATGTGGCAGGAAGAGCAGCATCTGCTCTCTGACTTCTTTAGAAGGTGTGCCTGAGCTTTAGGCGATGGAGAAGGAAGGCAAAGGAAGAAAACACATCTCTCTAAATCCTTTGAGTAAATAGGAAATCTGCAACTAGTACAGAAAAAATAGGTAAAGAACAGTGGCTAATTAGTCCTAGATTTGGAATGTATTAAAGACATTAGCTGATAGCATAAAAATGGAGGAGAAGACTCATTTGGGCTGGTTTCTTTGTCCCTACCTTCCTTCTATGTGATGTGGGCTCAGAGACTGGCAGTTTGCAGTTGCTGTGTTCAGCCCACTTCTGCTCCAATTATCTAGGAGTAAAGGAAGAAGATCTAATGATTTAGTTTCCTATGGGTTAAGAAAATTAAATGTATTTTCAATAAAAGAAGCTATTTGTGAACTTAACTGTTTATAATAATGATGAGATAAACATTTAAGGAGAGGGTGGGGTCCTTTCAGTAATAGCAGTTTTCTGCATTTTGTGCATTATTTTAATCAAAATATCAAGCTTCATTAAGACTTGCACCAGTATTTATGAAACAAATAGGTAATTGGTATTGGCCCCATTTTAAAGACTGAGAGAGAGGAAAATTCTGGAGCTTGATCAACGTTTGTAAGTGTACTGGTAAAAGAGTCCAGATACTGGAGAATTACTAACTCTGTATCATTTTCACTCTATCCTTTTAGCTGGAAAAAGTATTTCTCATCACTTTTCCTCCACTTTTGATATAGATACAGAGGTAAAAACTAAAATGAGTGAGGATAAATACAGGTGAAAACTTTGATAAAATCTATGCATAAAATATCAAGAGAATACTAAAGATTTCTTTTTCTAAAAAAGTGAATCTTACATTTTTAATCTTAGGAAGGGCAGGCACAAGATACTTTCAGCACTTGCCCAGAAAATTACTATTTAATGCTGAAATACACAGATTTGATCTGCAGAGTGCAACCTAATTAACTTTTATCTAAAATATTTCCGTCACCTGAATCACTGTAGGCAGCAGATGGGAAGGCATGGAAAACACAGGTGCACAATGCTGCCAATGACCAAAGTGCTATAAACATGAAATTGCATCCATAGGGTGCATCATTATTAATATATATGCAGAATCAGATCTAATGAAATGCAAGAGTCAGCATCACTTGCTTCTCATCATTGCTTCTTTATTACCTAATACTTCATAAGTTGCCAATAGTGTTCACAGTCTCCAGACTCCTTTCCATTTGTAGATTGTTTGGCAAGAGTCTTAAATAGCAAGAATTTTCTCCCAAATTAGTGTTCCTTAGTTAGAAGGGAAATTGTCTGTGTTCCATGATGGATTTGTGCAGTAAACACTACATTACAACAAGGGGACCAGAGAAACTGTGAAGCAGCTTCTAGAATCAGTCAACTTCAAAGGTTTAGGACTACTGGGGGAAGAAAGTCCTCCAGGGACAAACTTACAAGCTGACAATAAAATAAGTACTCTGCCAAGCACATTTACTTCTGTGTTTCAATTCAGAAATGTATTTTCAATCACTGTTGTCACTGTTACTTTCACGGCCCACATATTGAAAGGGAGACATTATTATATTAACTCAGACCTAGTTTGCCCAACTGAGGACATTTCCTTTCATATTTCTTTGTATTTTAAATTCAAACTTATCTAACTTGTCTTACTTTTAGTATGTCATCCCATAATGTTCTATATTAAGAATGTCCAGCTCAATGCCAAGTCACTGTAATATGTAATTTTAGAAGATGACCCTAATCTGCTTTCAGCAAAAATAATAACTAATCTTTTCCTTGCTTCTCCTGAAAAGTAGACCTTTCTCTAATACACTGATGTGATTTTTAAAAAACTTTCTAAATATAAAAGAATGTCAAAGTCATTTTACATATTAAATCAAATTTAGCCACTGTCCTCATTGGAGTCTACTGCCCAGTGACCTAATACACTGATTGTGCCAGTGCCTGAATAAGGGCTTCTAGAAGAAAGTGGACTTGTCCACACAAGCAAGCAAAATAAAATAGTGTCTCTTATTCAGGCAAATCAAAATTGCTTTTAGAGAAGGAGCAGCAACTGTGTTTCCTCTCACTTTCTTTTGGGCTGCTGATTTCTTTCATATGAAGCCTTTAATTAATAAGTAATGATTTTGACAGTATTCCTGCCACAACTTCTAATGGGAAGAGATACCACTGAAATGATCAAACCCCTGAGAGAAGCATATAGTTTTATTCCAATATACTGTTTATTCAAAACATAAAAGCATCAGATCATCAGCTTGAAAGGAATCAACTTCCTTTAAGCAGGGAAATCCGTTAAAAGTAAGATAGTTAACTACTCACTTTTGGAAACCATGTGTGTATTATCACCACATAATAAAAACTTAATACAACATTACACATAGGATAGGATCAAAGCATGTTTTCATCCAAAAAAATTCTGACTTTACTACCATACTCAAACCTCCACTTTCAGCTAACTCATTTTAATAAAATGATCATTTCTTAGTTCTAAATTCTATCCCCACACCCTCAAATAATGATGCTGCATATGGATCCAGTTATATTTACATTTAAGTTCCATTAAGTTCCAACAGTTGTTCTTTCTCTTCCCTCTCCAAACCCCTTTTTCTTCTAGGGGTTTTGTATAGTTTCTCCAAAGTTAACTCCTTGAAATTTACCTGCTGCTAAAATGTGTATCTCATGTTAATTCCATATTGGTTCCATTAGACAGAGTTAATGGAGTAATATAATTGGCTTGGATCCAAACCAACGCAGTTATAATGACTGTACTACTATTTTCAACTCTTGTTGAGTGTACCAACCACACTTTGCCCGTCTTGTGAGCCATATATGCTAACTAATTAATATATGTTTATTCCCATGGAAATATAAGTGTTTCAGATGATCCATTTTCTCTGATAATACAGGCCTAACTACTGAAGCCTATTTATTAGAATTTAGCTAGCACAATGCCACTTTTGTGTGGAACAGGGGACAGAACAATGATACATACTACCACTACATAACTTAGGTATGTGCCTCTTGAGGGGACAAGGAAAGGGCATTTATTTCTTTATTTGTTTGTTTATTTATTTATGAGGAAGATTAGCCCTGCCACCAATCCTCCTCTTTTTTGCTGAGGAAGACTGGCCCTGAGCTAACATCTGTGCCCATCTTCCTCTACTTTATATGTGGGATGCCTGCCACAGTATGGCTTGCCAAGTGGTGCATAGGTTCGCACCCAGGATCCAAACCAGCGAACCCTGGGCCGCCGAAGCGGAACGTGTGACTTTAACCGCTGAGCCACCAGGCCAGCCTCTAAAAGATGCTTATTTTTAAAACATCTACTCTCAACGTTGTTGGTTTTCCTTGACTTGCTTCATGGAAAACACTGCTCTGTCTCCTCTTGCGAAAGTATATTCTTCTGCAATTCGTGATGAATTTCTGATAGTAGCACCCAATTGTTACTGACTTGAAGATAAACAATTTCAAATTAAATGTCAAGTGATGCAAAACTTTCCTTAGCAGTGATCTTTTACAGGTTACTCTTGAAGAACAGAGACCTGAGATTCATTTGGAAGTTTTTATTTTTAATTTTGGAATATTTTTTACAATACTTACTTATTTCTCTAGATAAATAGAGCAGAAGAGACTAGCAGACACCATTCATTAAGCAATTAATCCATCTCGCCCACTTTTCTTTTTGCTTGCCACAGTATAGTCATAGAGAATATTTGGTCTTGATCTTCTTTGGCTATTACTTTTTGGAGTTCACTTATGATTGAATCAACTGAAGTATCTGAAGACCAATTTCAATGTCTAATTCCTTAATGCTTTATCTTTTGGAGTTGCAGAAGGCACTATGGGTTTTGTGCCTTTAGATTTTATTTCATGAATTCCTCCAGTCAAATTCCAATCATGGTTGAAAGAGCAAAATATAATGGAAAGTGTGTTAAATAGTAGTGAAAAGACACTCAGCCCACCTCTGCCTCTTATTGGCCATATAATCTTGGGCAAGTGCCTCTATCTCTGGACACCTATGCTTAATAGTCAAAAGAAGATACCTTACTAATCTGACAGAGTTGTTTTATAAGTCAAATAAGAAAGTGAAGTACTTTGGAGAAATTTATAGTGATAGCCAAGTAACTAGTAGAGAGGTATTGGTTATGATCTGATAAGAAACATACAAGTTCTAATTCTCCATTAGTAGTTACTAATCAAAATGGGATGTGATTCACAATATAACATGTCTTCATCCTCCACCTTGCTTTCTACCCACTTCTTCATTTTCTTTCTCTTAAAAGAAAAAGAAGTAAGTGCGTTTAGCCAAAAAAAAAGGAACTAGGTTCCTAAGTAGCACAAGCTCTTTATCTCATCATGGGCCAATAACAGTTTGCAAACCAGCTACTTTGAGTACCACTGCCCTAGACAGCTATGTAGGGCTCTAATAGCAAGTTATTGTTCATTTTAGTGGCACCACCAAATGTTGAGATGAGAATCTCATAGTCTTTTCTCTTGCCTACTCTAGTTACTCCTATCTACTTACACAGAAGAGTA